GTGACTGTGCTATGGTCATTCTTACAAGGTGGTCCTTCCAGAATCTTCAAGTGAGTTCTATAAGATTATCTGCTCATTGCACCATCAGCAAGATGAGTTTTGGTCCCTTATCAATTGTTTTGCAAGTACGTCAGTTTTTTAGGAAGTTGGGTATTGTTTGCAAATTCCTGGGAAACGAGACCCCCCTGCCTCCACAAGACTTACCACTTCCCTATCTTGTTATTGGAAACAGTATTCGAAGTTTCTCCTATACTTTTCTGCCATGTTGGCAGAGTTCATGCAATTTGGCAGTTTCAGTTGTTAATTCTTTACTTGTCCATCATAGCTTGAGTGTTTGAATAAAAAACTCTGTTCTTTTTCACTGGTTTTCTTCTCTTCTTTCAGCTGCCTTTCTGGACATTTGATCTCCTCCTGTCTCTGATGCTTGCATTTAGATCCCAGGATAAACTTCTATTTTGTGAGATTAGAATTCAGGTTAATCTTCTGCATTACCGTAATCTTCCTATATGTCTTCTTGCATATTACTTTCTCTCTTATTGTTCCCTCCAAGAGATAAAAGTAATGAAAATTCTTTCTTCTTGTTTACCTACTTCTCTGCAGCAGTTATCATATTGTATATCTAAGGCATCTGATACAATATGGTCTTTTCTTTAGAGTATTTCTACTTCTAATCTATCATCATTCAGACAAAAAAAAAGCTATTAATACTCCCCTAACATTCCATCATATTTGCAGTTTGCAAGATGATACTTACATAGGTTTAGATCTAAATAAATAAATAAAACCAAAGTTGCTTCTAGCATAAGGCTTTTATATAGCACAGAATAACACAAAGGCAGATCCAGCGCACATCTCTAGACAGATAGTGGTACAGTTTTCACTTCATATGTATATTTGCTGTAAATGAATATCTCCCTCTTGGCTGCAACTGTTGCTGTAGAAAAGGGTAGATCACACTGTGTAAAAGATTTGCTGCAGCTACAGAATGTAGGTAAGCAAAAAGTATCTTTAAAGCACCTGTTTACCGGGATTCACATATCTAGGAACTAAAAAAAAAGGGAGGAGGGGGCAGATTCTACTAGTCATTATTGAAAACTTGTGCATACAATTTTGCATACAATACAAATTCATGAAGAACCGTAAGAGATATGGGAGCAAAGGTGGAACTTGAGGAAGAAGAATGTTCTTCAAATCCAGCAAGATTCAGGCAAAATTTGCTCTTAATGCAGATCTAAAACTGCCACTCAGGGAGCGACTATCTCATAATTCTAAGATAAACTATCTGTAGTGAATTATTCTGAAATAAAAACTGGAAGTCAAATGAATAATAAATGCATTGGGGAAAAGTATTTTTCCTAATTTTTATCCAGGTGTTCCTTACAATGCTGGAAAACAGCCCTGATTTTAAGGTAAACAGAGCTTGCCAAAGAAAAGAATAATACCAGTGGGATTGTGTCTAATAAAGAACATGAAAGGGTGGTCAGCTAGGAATACCTCGGTGAGGGGAAGAGATCTCCTTACAATGACAGCTCCTGTAGCACCTGCTGCTACGGTGCCTTCCTCATTGACTTCCACATAGGTCTTGTGGACAAACTTTGACAGAAACAGAGTTTTTGAAAATGACATTGCAGAGAGATCAGCTTTTGATTCAAGGAAGACATCTGTCATCCCCATCGCTTGCAAAAAGGTGTTGAGGTCAAAGCTGCCTTCAAGCTTGAATCGTGGGAGATACACCTCCACTGTTCCCTCAGACATGTATTCGGAAGAGGTCCACAGAACTAACTTTTCATACGTCATTGACCTTTCAATCTAGAAGATGTAAAAAAAAAAAAAAAAAGGGAACTTAAAATAGGCGGAGAACTTGGACCTATATCCAGTTTTAATTGATTGGTTATCCAACCAACTTTCAAGCTGGTTCCACCATAGTCCATGATATAGTGCCTTACCTGTTCCAGTCCATTGGTAGATCCATCAGCCATGTCTTCAGGCAGCAGGATAAACATACTCAGTGTCTTCAGAACATAAGGGAGTTCAAGGATCTGAGCTCCAATCTCCTCAATGTAACCTATTTTAAACTTGCCTTTCTGATACATCATCTGTACAGGTTTGCTCTCATTCTGTTTAAGAGAGAACGATATATTCAGCTAAGCAATACAGCTCTTATGTTTAAAATTCACATATAATATCAGTAGTTTGCAGTACTATTGCAGGGTTTGCAGTAGTAATTTTGTTACACTAAACTTTATTTTTATTTTGTTAGGCTTTGTTTATTTTAACATCTACCAAAGCACACAAACTGCTTTGCCATGCATAACTTAAGAGGATAACACTCTGACAAAACCCAATTTTCATGTAGCTAAATAGTAGCTAAAAAGCAGCTTAATAGTGTTGCACTTCCAAACGGGCTGTTATTTGGAAGCCCCTGTTCAGGTTTCAGCTGCTTGTTTGGATTGGTATAAAGAAGAGACTGCTCTGAAAGAATAAGGCTGATGAGTCCCAGTGTAGGGCCAAACTCGATATTTCTTCCCTCTTACAGAATCCCACATAACTCTATGGCTTCCTAAGCTATGACTCCATTTTTATAATTATGTATTGAAGAAGAGGATTTGGATTTCACCAAAGTCAGACCAGCCATTTGGTAGTGATAGCCTACAAACGTACTGAAAAAGCATATAGCTACTTGAGGAACATTAGGTCGTGCTTTTTGGCAATAACATAGATATTTAGACTTGAAAATCTCCTTTGCTTTCAGTAAGACTACAGTGTTTTCTAAAATTGAAACAAGGGATTACAGGTGTGAGTAAGTTGTAATACTACACAAGGGAGACTCCTGAAATCAAACAAACTTGATTCTTTCCCCATTTGAAGGGAATGGCAATACAAATGGTAGAGCTGCTAAGCAGCCACACAGCTGATCCCCCAGGCACACAAACTAAGTCTGCAAAATCCCAAATCAAGCAATCGATAAAGATTATGGTTTCTTAGGCTTTCCTCTTCCCCTCCTTTACTGAAAAAAAAATCACTATTGACTTGCAAAGCATAATCAGTAATAACCAGAAAACCCGTTAAAAATGATATAAGGGTACCATGATTTACCCTAAAACAAATCAGCATGAAGCATTCAAACTAAATGTAACGACACACACACACACATACACGCAAAACAAACGAACAAACAAACAAAACCTAGCTCCTAGCTTATAGTGCCTTTTATTTTCAAGCAATTTCCATCACTGAAGCTACTGGATATTAACACTAACAGGAGATGGTGCAGGAATGTTCCACAGGTCAGCCTATATTAAAGATGGAGCAAAATTATCATGCGATTTGGGAGAATGCAAACTTTCTATAGTTTTATGGAGACCTGTCATAGATATTCAGCGATAGCTCATTGGAAACAGAGCTGCTGACTTCTGAAAAGCTGCTTTCTTATTTTCTCACACCTGTCTTTACATTAGGCCATGAGATTAGGCCTTCAGATTAGGCTCCTTAGGTCTCCTATGTTTGGTAGTACTTTAGCATATATTAAAATTTAGCTCTTTCTCTTGAATCTTCCTCTTTCTTCACAGAAGATAAAGTATTGTTGCCACTGGTGAAGTGCCCCTTCTTACAAGACCCTGGCCTATAACAAGAGTAGCTCCATAGACACCACTTCAGTGCACAGCCTTACTGCAATTTTAGGAGAGTATATGAAGAATTCCCTTTCATTTTTCTTTTCTTTCTATCATTTTGCTCAGAGCAAAACTCTGAGTTGTTGAAACTTATGTGTCTTGCGCATTTTTTTTTAGTAATGATTATGCTTTTCTGTGAAAACCTTTTAACTTTATCCAGTCAAAGTGACAGGTTAACTTCCCAGTGCACTCACATCATGTTCACCGGGCAAGGGAGATCCCTGGATACTGTGTCTCTGTGTTATGCTTGCTGCAATGTTCACAGTATGTAGAATGAATAATATTAAGATTTATAGATTCAAATGTACCTGATTCAATCTAAAGGCTCTCTCTTTTGTATTTTTTTCCTCAAACTTGTGTTCCCAAGATGCTTTGAAGTAGATTACGTTCACCAGCACCAGCACTGCATGCGAATCAATCACACCAGGAGCAAAGAGTTCCTTGATTTTACCTAAAAGAAAATTTCAGAAAACACAAATATATGTAAGCCATTCTTAAGACTCAGGACTGAATCTAAATTACGTGTCTTTCAACATAGTTTGGAGAAAACTTAGAAATCCAATTCTCTGTTTATTCCAAGGACAGGGACAATATTAGCAACCAAATGGTAAAGTCACCAGGTTGGCAATAGCCTGTTTTAGAGGGGAAGGTGGTTGAGCATGATGATGTCTATGATGGTATGTACTAGGTGTCATTCTCCACTGCAGAATGAGGCAGCACCGTTAACCACATCCCTCTATTTACATGAGAGCATCTTTCAGTTTACACTGAATACAGCAGTCTGTGGAGGTTTTGACCTTCATTGTGGATACCATGTCCACAGGCCTTGTGCAAGTGGTGCTCAGAGCAACAATCACTCCTAGCACTGTGCAGTGAGGTTCCTGAATCCAGGATGCTCTCCTCCTGTCGAGGAGACACCCGGGTTTAACATCTCTTTCCCATACCAGGCACAGGCTGCTCTGTCAGTGCAAGCATATTAACTCCCATTTTATGTTCAATCAGAAGATTCAGAAAAATGTCATTCAACCAATGCCTCAGCTTTGGCAAAACAAGAGAAAAGTGTCATATATCACGTTTAATCTAAACAGCAAGAGCCTATGGCCCCTACCAGCTAGTTAAGGGGAGGAGCTGGTTATATGTTACTTGTGACAGTCTTACTAGCTGCCACATCCATCATCCCTGTAGATATTGCTCTCTACGTATAACCAAGTTCTTGATTCTATCCTCCTCCCTCATAGACTTTTCCCAGTGCCACAGTGATGCTCACAGCTTCCGCCTTCTGGTGTCTCATACTGGGTACTAGAGGAAGCAGTGGGTATTTGCAGAAGCAAATGAGGGCATATGTTCAGACCCTACAGATATTTGGCAGGTATCATGCTGGACATAAAGATAGGAATAACAATATGCTCAACAACAAATATACCTTTAACACGGAAATAGTTTAGCTGATAATTTACTGTAATATTTCAATTACGGATTGGAAAATAATGTAAAGGATGAAAGACTGAATGCTCAGAAAATGGAACAAATCTTTGTTTTCATACTCTGGATTTTGTTGACACAATGAGAGGAGGTAATGACAGTCTGGCTATATTTCTGTTTTTCTTTACCTTGTGTCTGACTTTCAACCCAGGAATTAATTTTTTCTCTGGCTGTTTCAAGAGCATTTTGAAAGTCAACTCTTTGCAGTATTGCTCTGTACAGTTCCTTGGCACACATTAAATATCTCTGTAAAATAAAATAAAGATTATGAGCCTATTCTTCAAAATAGTTATTTCCTTTCAAAGAAATCATTCAGAACTATTTTGGAAATGATGAGGGTATTATTCACTTCTTAAGGGAGAATTTGGCATTGGAAGCATAAACATCAGAAGTTTATTCTGAGTGTTTGAAGAGCTAATTGCTGCATTGGCCAGGAAAAAAAGATAAATGAAAAGAAAGCTACAAGAAAGAGTCTGTGGAGAACTGCACACCTGAGTCCAGATAAAAGAAAAGAAAAAGTAGAAGTTATGTAATTATTGCTAAATATCCAAATCATTCAATAGAAATAACTGAGACTGGCAAGATATCCATGCAATTAGAGTTTAGAGACAGCTCTTGCATTTGGTAAGACAGCAGTAAGAAGTTCAGGCCAGAAGTCTTACACTGGAAGCTGTGTAATGACTTCTCATGCTAAACGCCCCTCCACTGCCCCCACCATTTGCAAGCTCATAAGTACCTGCCTGAGTCAGCCAGATTTGGTTGCAATCAAATTGCAACTAGAAAAAAAAAAAAAAAAAAAAAAAGGAGGGAGAAGCTTCCTGCTCTGCTTTTGCTCTATAACCATTGGTCTCCACAATGGTTTATTTTTAAATGAGTGAATCAAAAGCTGATACGATTGTCTTGTTCTCACCAGCCCCAGGAGATACGTCTAAAAGAAGGAAGCACCAAGCTGTCCGAAACGTGCATGAGGGAGGAACAGTGAGGTTTACAGTCACAGGGGAGGTTGAGGTCATGGCCACAGCTGTACCAGTTACAACAAACTTACCTGTTGGAGTTCAAATTCCTGTTGCACAAACAGATTGTTGGCCAGGTTCAAAATATATCTTTTGTCAAGGTTTTGTAGTCGTAGAAGCAGTTCATGGAAAGCTTCATGGTGAGTTCCCCCGTCCGTGCTACACTATGAATATTACGAGCAGAAAAATTATAAAGACCTTCCCATATAGCTTTGACTGTTAGCTTGCATCCTAACTAAATTGCATTTATTGATTTTCAAATCCAGCTAATCTAAGTTTTGTAGCCTATTTCTCCTTCAGACAAGAGCAAAGTCTCCCCCAAAAGTTAATACCAGGCCAAAGGTCTGGTCTATAACCCAAAGGTTATAGACTGACTTTGCATGTGAGCATGACTCCCTCCAGCGGCAGATTCCAGGGCTGTATAACCCTGGTTATAACTGCTTATAACCTTGCAGGTGAGAAAGGGCTCCCGTACTACCCAGTGCGAGCACATACTGGTGAGAAGTAAGGCTGTCTTTCCTGGCTTTGTTCCACCTTGGTTTCCGGGGCTGTGCTCTCAGCAGATCCAAGGCTCATTCTTCCCGTATCTTCCCTCAAGTGAAGCACCTGCAGTTGAAGATGTCTGATTATGGCAATTGTAAGGTAGATTAAAGATTTTACCTTGTTTACAATATTTGATATACTATCCTGGAAAAATGACAAAGATCTTTTTTTTTTTCAGTTTCAGTCAAGCTGAGAAGTCAGTCTTGAAAATATTCACATATTCATGTCCAAATTAACACTTAAACATCAGGGAAACAAGAACTTATGTTTATTTCCTCAAAACCCTAGGGTCCACTAACTCAAAATGTTTATGTCTGATTTGTATTTTATTGCTACAGTTACCATAAATTTCAAAATGAAAAAATGCCTCTGGCAAAGAGAAATAAATGTTTTGCTTTGAAAACATGAAAATTGGCCTTTGGCGATAATTCCTAATCTTTGTCTCTGATCAGGAACTGGATCAAAACCACAGTGCTTTTAATGGAAACCAGTCCTTGCTTCCAAAGCACTGAATAATTTCCAGCAGCTTCTCCATAATAATAATTTTGAAGCTTACAAAGTGCTAATGTTTTTGTTGGCCAGATCGGATTCCCATCACTTTCCTGCGCTATGGAATCTCATAAGGAAGTCATGGCTGAAGGTAACCCAGCAGTCAGGCTCTCCATGTGTCAATGTCAGGATATCATGAATGAAGAGCTACCAGCAGTTGTAAGACCAGAGTTCCCTGTGAGTGAATCTTCAGGGGTGAGCACTCTTGATCTTCAATGACAATGAAAGTGTTAAGTACCTTAAGATTGTTGGTCTTTTACTGTACATAGCAATATAAAAATAGATCACAGAAAGAAGAACTTACTTACACTAGTGTGTAACATAGGCCTGGTGTTCAGAGGGGATTTTTAGGCTCTCCAGGAGCTCTGCTTGAGAGGCATTTTGACATTTGAATGTCATAAGATGATAAATGAGCTAATTCTTCCTGCCATCCAGATGCAATCATTTCAGGTTTCTGCATTTCTCCCCACAATACACCCACACATTCAGGATTTCCATGGCAACCAGAAGAGAAAAACCTGACTTACTTTCATTTTGAAATAAAGTCTGATATTCCAGCAGCAGGCTGGGGAGTGCCAGAGTGTCCTGCATATTACCTACCATCACAGAGCTCTTGCTCTACGTTCACGAGTCTGAATGGGGACTTGCAGTGCAAGAAGATAGCAAGGATGATAATGCAGCAAGACAAGCTTTAAAATCATCTCTTGTTTTTGTATTCAAACCTGTTTCCTAAACACGTTGCACCCATGTTGTGCTATGATGCTCAGCCCTTGCTTTATGGGAACAGCAAGATATGTGGAAGCATCTCTATGTTTCATTAATACTTACTTTCTTTATCTGAGAAGCACTGCTGTGCTTTGCACCCAACTCAACCAGGGCCAGGGCAATAGAGATGCTCATTGGAGAGAAGACAATATTCGTGCCCTCTGCATTTCTGTTGCACTCTTTATAAAGGTCCAGGCAAAATTCAGTAATCGGTCTAGAAATGGAGGCCATTGTAAAGGCAGCAGCTAAATGGAACGAAAAAATAGGATAAACAAGAGATGTAATGCAGCTCATTGCCTAGCAAGGTCACACTGGGATTGTCCCACAATTGGTTGGTAAATTGCAAAAATTTGATAAATTCTGAGAGGTTAAAGCAGCTAACCCTGTGCATACATTTGTTCTTTCATGCTTCATGGCAGGAACAAGGACACAGGGTTTGGAAAAGGGATCCACAGAATTGGATGGAATTCCTCAGAAAGGAGCATTTTTTCTCTTACCCCATAGTTCTTCTATATGAGATAACTCACAGTATTGAAAACAGGTTACTGTGGATTGACATTTTCCCTCTCCAGACTGTATTGAGACATAATGGTTTAAAAACCACAGTTATACCATGTCTTTCGTCTTATAATAGTGTATAATTATTCACAGAGTAAGAAATAATGCAGACTTACAACTATGTTAGTCAGAGCTCCAGTCCAAGTTATTCAGAATTATAGATTTATAAAAAATAAAATCAGTATCAGTTAAATGCTTTGGATATGTGGACACTGTACTACAAATGGAAACATGTAGAGTTTGCAGCATTCTTTTTCCCTCCTCTTGTGTCTTCCAGGAGTCACAGATTCAGAAAGGATAAGAACACTGTGTTTCTGAGCAAAGCACAGCCCTGAAAAGAAGGGTTTAGGTACCTGCTTGGTGATAAGAGGGCAAAATCTGCATGACTTCTTTTCCCATGCTAGACATATTGCAGTCTGATATCTTTTCCATGGGTCATTTATGCTAAATCTACTCTGTGAAAGACCCTTCAGTACTTGCAAGTAGGAAGTCATCTTTAGAAAAGCTTTTGAAAAATCTTTAGTTGTTTTTGGGGGGAGGATGAAACTGTTACATGGATACCACTGGAAGCACATGAGCTTTTTGGAGATTTTATGCAAGAGAAGGCAAGAAAGAAGAGGAGAGGAGAGGAGAGGAGAGAAAAAGCACAATTTTGCCTGCTTTCAGGCAAGCATCTAGACAAATAGCTCTGGCCTTTGTGCTGGAATGATAATTTTTTGGGGTGTAAGTTAACAGCCACAGTATGGAGAGAAGGCCCTTTCAAGAGGGATCTAGAGCTGGAGACTTTCTTGGGAAGGAGGCTGCCTGTCACCAGAGACCCTATTCCTCCATATCAAATGCTTCCAACTGGTCCCACGTTCAGCTGAGGCCATGGATTTTCTACCACAGTCATGGAGTCCTGCCCTCACAGATTTTTCTTTACTCCAAGGTCTCCTCAAAATGGCCCATGCCTTCCTCAAAGATGAAGAGCACATGCCGCCTCACACTCAACCGTGAGCCAGACATGAACTTTGTATTTGCATCAGAAGAAGTTACTGCAGTATAAGCAGTTACTGTGGCTAACCTGAGATGATAGAGCAACTAGCTGTGCAAACCACCTAAGCCTGCAGCAAGTGCCAGATAATGGAAATGAACTCAGCACACAAGAAAATAAGACTTCGGCTAAGTCAGATTGCCCCACTGGCTTAGAAGAACTGAAAAGTCAAGAGGCTGAATATATGAAAGGGCCAAGTGTGGTAAATGCAGATTCCTTTGACCAGCTTGAAGGGCACAGCAATAATCTCTGCTTGATCATCTTTCTAGCTGATGACCTGTGGAAAGAACTTGTGATGCTGAGATCAGAAGTTCATATTTGTTTCATACTGAGGCATCTGTCATCTGTTTTACTCTGAAGCCCAGAAAAACTTCATATGAAGACCTAATATAAATGAACAAAACAAAGAATATATACTCAACAGGTAATTTGAACAAACAAATTAAAGATCAGTCATATTTCATTAAGTTTAAAAACATCTGTTCTAGAATAATAGACTTGTTGTTCATGTCTCTGTATGAAATGCTATTTTCATTTTCCTTTTATTAACACAATCATCTTACCACAAGAAAAAGACATTGCACAAAATGATGATTTTTGTTTGCTTCCGCCTTCATTAAGATTTACAATTTTCCATAACCTTCTGAAAATGAAGCTCAGCACCGCTTTAGTGCTGAAGTTTGCATTGCTCCACTTTCACAACTTGTGAAAGATGTAAAATGGAACTATGAAACCCATTTACTGTGAATGTAGGTCATGAGGCATATTGTAGGTGTGCCCAGACCTCAGGAGGAGTCAAGGAGTTTTAAAAAAAAAAAAAAGAAACTTCCTCAGCAAGAAGGCGGCATCTCCACCTCACCCTGCGGGGATAGGACTGACTGCCAAGCATTGAGGGAGTGCCTCAAGTTTTAAAAGGGAGTGTCTGGAGCGCAGAGGTGTGATTCCTTTAGAAAAGAAGCAGTCTGTCCTCTGAGTGACGCACAGATAAAAGCTTGCGGACAACTCTTCAGCTGCGTGAGTTTGAACTAGTTAGAGGGCTGCCTTATGAATCCAAAGTTACAGTGAAAGGAATGGGTATGTGGGTTGGAGGAGGAATGGAAGAGGTTTGATTTAGCAAATTTTCTTAATCTAACTTTGGGGACCACACATTTATAAGTACTTCTGTATCATTAAGTTGTGTACATTACAATCTAAAGTTGTGTGTAAGCACTGTTAGTAGGAATTTTGCTGTTACCGTTAGGATAGTGGTAGAAAACATCTAGAGAACAAGTCGAAGTATTACTTCTAAATACTTGGAGTGTAAACAAAAGCAAATAAGATTTAAAGAAGTGTTTATGGAAGTTCACAGGGGCCATTTTGCACTAGGTAAAATATTTGCATAGCACATTTCCAATAGTGCTGAGGTAGCAAGGAAGGCTGCAGCATTGGAGCTGTTGAAGTGAGATGCATCATGATTCCATAGTTCTTTACAAAGTCGAGTGGATAGAAATTGCTGATGCTGGTGTATGTGGGAAGAAGATATCCAGGAGAAGAGCTTCACACCAGGAAAAGAGAAAACACATCCCAGAAACATTTAAAATGTAGCAAACTTATCCATGTCTCAGCAACACAGAGAATGTTCCTCTTCTCTGACCGTGTTCAATTGTCTCTCTATAGTTTGTTTGAGGATAGAGATAGATGATATTCAGGCAACAACTTCAAAGAATAAAAAACTGTGCTTAAAATTATCATATAGAATATTATGCAGTCAACAGGAAGAGGAAGTAAATAAATCACAGATCCGAGAGTTGTAGCCTTGTTTTTGAATGTGATTTTATATTTAAGAAAAGGTAAAACAAGAAGGAGCATGTTTTCTCTGATGTCTCATGATAAGTCACATTGCCCAAGTTTTATTTATTGTCTGTCTTCCATTAAGATGATATAATACACCTTTATTTCTCGTAAATAAAGGAAGCAGGGATTGGCTCTGACATTACCCCATCCTAGAAAAAGAGCGTATGATATAAAACAGAGTATCCTCACATGAAAAAATCTCTGATGCGATGAAGTGAGCTTTTTATTTTTCATAACCATTCATAATAAGACATTTTCAAATATATCTCAGCTGATTTAGAATTAAAAGGGAAAGTAGCACAAATGCAAAAAATAATTCCCCACAACACCGAAATTCTAATAATTCCCATGTGATGCTTTCCAAAATAAAATGTTTTAATTTTAAAACCAATGCATTTTGTAAGAAAATAATTTTTCAAGAGAAATGTTTTCATTTTTTTTCTGACAAACTTAGCCTCTCATAATGCTGCTTTTATGATGGAAATGACTTTTCTGGCTGCTCTTACTGTTTTGCATCAATACCTTCAGAATGCAGCTCTTCTACATCTTGCCAGAAGAAATATACCTGCAATCATAGCCAGAGATATACATCAGCCTGTTATGGGCTGTATATCGGCAAGTTTTACCTCTGTGTAGGTGTACAGGTTCTTAGCAAGTTTTAAACAGTGCTGCCAAATCCAAGAGCCAACATGCTGATAGTGAAGACTAGCTTCCCCATTAAGAAAACAAATTCTGAAATACACCCCACCCCACCCCATTTCATAAAATTATTATTTATGAGCATAAACAATCCTGACAGCAGGGATCAAGATACACAGAAAGAAGAAGAAGAAAAAAAAGGTGTCCAGCCAAAGACTTGCAAACCCTTTCTCTGGTCTAGTGAACATTTCAAGTGGTTTTATGTTTTGTATTCCTGCATTGTGAAAAAGACAGAATAACCTACATCTCTCACTTTTTGGATGACTTTGTTTGTGTCATTGCACCTTCACTTCCTCTGAAGCCCACTTCTCCCAGAATGGGTAGGAATACTCTAAAACAGCCTGCCCTTCAGCCCCTTTTGATGCACTGGCAGAAAAGTATCAACTTTGTGGTGTGAGCCACTCAGCTGATCTGTGCTGGTACAAATGCAGCTTTCTGAATGGGCAGAGAGGCCCCAGGAAAATTTCAAATTCAAAAGTCTATGAAATTTAGGCAGGTATCCTTAGCTTCATAGCCTTGGGCATGTGTTTTCTAAATTTCCATCCAAATCCCACTGAAGACCAGTGCAGTTTGTGTTGTCACCTAATTTTAACTGTGTTTTTTTGTTGCCTGTAACCCATAAAATATCTCCCTCTCACCCCTCTGTAAACATGATGTCTCCTTTACCAATCAGTGCACTCCTTTGGATCTGTCAAAAAAATAACAAATTATTTTTGAAAAAAAAGAATTGTTTACCTTCTTGTCTGAAGAAGTTAAATGAAGAGTACGACAGCTGAGCTATGAAGCACGTTCTTGGTAATACTGTGTTATAAAAATCTCCCACTCTTTTGTGGGAAAGTTCAGCCTCTAACAAACTGTCGATGATAGCATTATGTTGTAACTTAATGCCAATGCCATCAACATGTAGTTTCCTGCAGAAGGCGGAGGAAATCTATATCCAGCAATATGCTAATAGCATTTCTCTCAAAGCTGCCCCACAAGTTCGGCAGGCTGAACTTATTGACAGCTCCTGCTTGTAATGCCAAGTTACCCACACCTGAAAAACTGAGCTTTAACCCTGAAATCCATAGCTATACTGCTATGTGTATTCCCTTTTGCAGTTATCGGG